AGGGCATCTCATCCTCAGCCCCGAGAGTGCGGTTATGCAAAACTGGATCGTACTATTCTATACCTACGTTTGGGGGATACGGTATTGGGCCCTAAACCTATTGATCTGCTCGTCCCCTTCACTTTGTACTTCCCTGGCTTGGGATCCTCGGCGGCAGGGCGACGTCAGGCATCTCCAAATAAGATAAAAACTGAAAAGGAAGGAAAAAGTTTTCTATGAAGATCCCCAAGGGGTTTCCTGAGGGTTGGTCACACAATGACAACCAGAAACACCTCCGGTTACCGGAGAATAAAAAACAAAAACCCAGAAAGACGGAAAGAAGGTAGATACAAGGACTCACCAGAACGTAAACGAAGGTTTCTAAAGGGCTTGGAGTGGTTCCTCTCTCTAGAAGGTTCAAAACAAGAGGGTGTTTGCTGGTCTAAACTCCGGTGACGACTGACTGGTAGACGACGTGACAGAGAGCGTCTCCGGTGAAGTTTTTAGGCGAAAGCTCTCTGAGTTCGAAATGACAAAAGTGTGGAAAAGAGAGAGAGAACCCGTTTATATAGTACCCTTCCCCATCATTAGGCACGAAGCACGAAGAGGCGCATTTAATGCGCACGACCTCCTAAGCGGCGAAAAATGGCTGGAAGCAATGATGGAGTGGTTGGGGCAGTTGCAGAACCCTTCGTCTCCTTATAACGCATGTCCTCGGCGTCAGAAGATTGAAGGCTGGGGGACAGTTGATGGGACATTTCTAGACACTCCTAGATGATGACACGTGTACTCGACGTCAATGGAGACTCTCGCTGTGATACCGACACGTCTTCGTCGGTTTCCAACCCCCTGCCCCGAGGATGCTGTTCACAGGGATCAAGGATCCCCAAACCACCTTGGACCAACATGTATTCCTCGACAGTTTGGGTATATCGATCCTAAATCATGCTAGTCCCTCGGCACTGAGGTGTATCTATCCGCGTGGGCATTTCTGCTCCTACAGGGGCTATTGATGGACAGATCACTAGCCTAGGCTAGGCTAGACTAGCCATCATGACCTCGTCTTACTCAAATGGTGTCAGGAGGCACAAGAAAGCAGAAGGCTCAACCAAAGGGGGATGAACACGTGGCATATTGTGTCAGATCAGAGACAAAAAGACCTGAATGCCCTTGCTGACACACGGCTTGGAAGGTCAGACATTTAATGCATCCTTCACTCGATGAGACAACATTTAATGCGTAAGATCCTCAAAGTGAAATGCAATAAATGTTCCTAATAGCAGGGCATTTAATACACCCCCGTCGAGAGAAGATTATTAAACGATCGGCAGACCGAGGAGAGAGCATTAGTTGTTCAGGGTCCCGAGCAATTACGAATAAAAACATTACTCATAGAAATTGGTGTGCACACTGCCCACCTCCAATGATTACCTACTAGCTACGCTGTCAGGAATGATGAGTTTTTAAGGTATAAATAGTCCTCATAAACACAGAAAAGAGATACGCAACAAACCCTCTCTCAACTATCATATAGTGTTTTCTTCTTCCCCTCTCTCAAAAAACTGATTTGATCATCGAAAGGGATACGCCGAAAAATACTCCGGTGCCCTTCTAACCTGTTTTTATTTGTTCCAGGAACCTCTTTTAGCCTTACAGGATCACTCAGGCGACTCATAAAAATGATTCACCTTTGACCCTCACAACCTGTTCCAAGTAGCAAGATCGACCACCCGATTGATGGACACGTGTTCACCACAGAAGAGATCTGTTTTCGTGTTTATATTGTGCAAGATCCTGCACGCACAAAAATTGTCGACAATGAACATGAATTTTGGCTTTAATCCAACAAGCCATAAATCCATCTCCATTACTTTCAAGTGATCCACCTTCCCTCCTTAACATCAGAAGCTTCTTCTTCCTCAGCACAGGCAGTGAACTCTGAGTTTGGTGCAGCACCAACTTCCAGCCACAGGTAATGACCCAGAGGCAGTAAAACCAACACAAAACCTAACCATTGAAACCCACCTCCATAACCATCGAAACCCACCCCCAATCCAACCCCCACTGGCCACCCAAACCCCACCACTCAACCACACTGGCCACCCAAAACCACCACCGAATCTAACCCCCATAACCACCGAAACCCACCCCAATTTAACCCCCACTATCGAAACCCACAACCCACCCCCACCACCACAACCACCAAAATCCACTGCCCACACCTGAAACTCCCCATCAAAACCCACCACCCAACCCCAAAAACCCAGCATCAGAGAAATGCGAGAGAGACAGAGAGAGAGTGTGAGTCGAGAGAGACCAAAAACATAAAAAAATGGAGTGAAATGAAGATGGAGATAAAGTAATAGCTTCGCAGCGATTGGCGATGGCGATGGTTTCGACTTCAACTTCGGCTTCGTCGTTGGCATCGAGAGAGAGAGAGAGATGACAGGGCATCAAGAGAGAGACCACAGATAGAGAGTGGGTGAAAACTGAAAGGAGATGGCCTTTTATACCCCACCCAAAAAATCCATTTTTTGTTGCTAAAGAGGATCAAAGCCAAGACCTCGTTAATCTTCGTGCGCATGTTTTTTTTTGGATGTTCCCATATTTTAGCATTATTTTTAAAACGGAGATATTAAGAAAAAACAAAAATATTCACCAAACATACTTTAATTTTTTTTTTAGCCATAAAATAAAAATAAAAACGAAAAAAAATAGAAACGGTTGGTTACCAAACACCACCTAAGACTCAGAATACGTAGAGGCAGAAGGAGTGAGGGCAGCAATTATTGAAATTGGTAACTATCAGTTACTGTAGAAGGACTGTGCTTTCAACTTCCACTGAACAAAGCCAACGCCAACGCCAACGCCAACGCCACTACGAAGCCACGACATGGATGCCCCCAGACGACAAAAAATCGGCTGATACCTGAGGAGTCGGCTTATATCTAGACCGGCGGTAGTAGAAGGGGCGGTGGAATTTGGCTAGGAGTAAGGGATTGGGGAGGGGGGTTACATCGGTTTGGATTTTGCATTTAGTCAGTGGAGAAAGGAGAGGGACAGAGTACAGGGCTTTACTATAATGACAGAGAGGACATACATGATTTTATAGAATTGTTTATGGGTAAATTAGGTATTTGAAAGTTTTACATTTAGTTTCCTTTTATAAGTAGTATAGATATATATATGATGATGATGTTTAATATTGAGCTAAAGGTGATTTGGTTTCCTTTCTTCATTTGAAGGGATTGCTGAGCTAGCTAGCTCACAGTACTTTCCAATGTGAGACTATATAGCAAGCCCAGAGTTCATATCATTGTAATTACTTTCACTGGGGGTGGGGAAAGGGGGGCTCATGACAGTGATATGAGGAGGGAATAGTGTAGTTAAAGCCATCTTTTGTTGTAGTGCTATTCACCTGGACATTGTTGAGTAAAATAACACAAATTGTCAAATGAGTCTTGTAGGAGAAATTTTATGTAGTAAAGAAGAAACTTTTGAATCAGTGGGTGGGCATTATATTAACAAGTTATAGATATGACAAAGTAATGAAGAAACAACCCATTACTCCACTAAGGAAGGGTATCAATATAGGTAAGGATATACTCCATTTGGAAGAATGAAGCTTAACTGAGAAGAGGTGTAGCTCCTACTACAAGGAGGAAACTCTGTGACAATGACTTGACACCAACAGAAATGTGTTTTAATTTCTTGAATAATTGGAATGCAAGGGAGTGAAAAAGATAATCTTATGGAGGAAAATTGATCTGGAATTCACCCTTGTCTAAGCAAACCTACAGTTACACATTAATCTCTATATTTCCTTTCAACCTTTCACCTACCATATCCAAACAACCCTCCCCCCCTCCAAATGGGATGGCTTCGTTCCCTTCTCTCCCCTTTGAAGAAGCTCTGGAATCGGCTACACTCGTCTCGCAGAAAGCGTATGGTTAATTCCATCTTTCCATTTTTCCAGAGTAATTGTGTTTTCTTTTTCACTTGATGGTTTTTGCTTGAATTACCCCATTTAGAGGCAAATAAATCATTTTGTTCTTATGCAGTATAATCAACTGTTTCTTTATGCTCTCTCATTAATTGTTATACTCTTTTCTTTTTCCCCACTTTCTTTTTATTGTTTTTTTTCTTCTTCTTTTCTTTAATGCAACCACATCAATGACATTTTCTTTATCTTGAATTTCAGGAAGGGGCATATATGTCCTGTATGAAGATGTGAAGGCCTGCTCCAGTGACGATGTTCATGTGTTGTGGTCGATACTGGTTGACTCATACAACTTTTCCATGGCCTTAGCCAATATGAAATGACAGAATTTTTTAAACTCTAGACAAAACGTACTTTATTTTAATCAGTTAGATTGAAGTTTTATATTTTTTTAATAATTTTCATGTAATTTTATATTTTTTTTATAATTTTTAAATAATTGAGGATGATGTAGAATATGTGGCTAACATGGCTTGGACTCCGAATAGATTGAGACTAGTGGTTTTCGATCCGCATCGGTCCAACGATCAAGACTCACGGCTATGCCCTGAGTTCTGTGAATTTTGCGCTGAATTCCATCGTTTATGCCCTCAAAATCCCATTTTTCTCATTTTAGAAAAAAATTCAAAAATTCAAAAATTTATAAGAAATCTTAGGAAATTCCGAATTCAGTTTTCACTTGGTCATAGATAGATATAGACAACAATGAGTAAGAAATACTTTTCAATTTCCACTTGATTAACAAATTATCAATATATTTGCACACATTTCTTACAAACTCCAACACTGTACTTTGTTAGAACATCTTGACTTGCAAATAAGTCTTGCAATATCTGTCAAACTTTAGGTTTCCACAAATTACCATTCCCTTTGATTGGTGTATTACCAATATTTGCATTACATTGTTCGAACACTTAGACATGCTAATATGCAACAGGCTTAACTTAAATAATATTCCTACCTAATAGAATGAACATGACCTATAAAGATAAGAACATAGAACATACATGAAGATCAAGCATCAACACTCCCCCCCACCGAACGGATCATGAGAAGGGCCAGCATCATTCCCTATGTGGCGTTGCACCAAACGCTGCAAATCAACCATCTGTTAGGAAAACTTAGCATAATTATACATAATTTTAATTATTAAATAAATATCAATATCACATACACAAACACAAAATAACAGTGAACTTAAAATAGAATAAAATAGATACTATAAATTAGAAAGAATTGGCCTACGAGTCCGAGAGTCGTGTGAATACTGTCCTAAAGCAACTAAACCTCTCCACGTGAGGGTACTGACAAACACTAGCGACTCTAAGATTAAACTCAGACACTCGCAGTAGTACCTCCTCAATGGTCACGTCCATCGGAAGGAAGGGATGAACCTGACTCGAATCAAAATTACCCAAAAACATAATTGGAAGATACATCTACAATATATATGAAAAAAGGATACATACTACAAAAACATATATATCCATTAGATCATATGAGCTTCTTTTATATATACTTGAAAATGCTAGCCATAGAGGCTTTTAAAGTCCACCATCTGATAACCCCCACCACATAAAGGCATTCAAATGCCCAATTAAAACAAAGTATAATTACTCAATTAAATCATATAAAAACTCAATTAAATCCTAAATTAAAAGTGATCCATTAAAACATATAAAATATATTAAATGAGAAATTTTAAAACCTTAATTTTTTTTTCAACAATCCCCCACGAGTTTTAAAATTTTGAATATTAGTGATATATATAATTTTATACATATATACATATATAAGCATAAAATGAATATAGAAAAATTATGACAACTATAATACTATGCAATGGGTGTAGATGTCTTCCGGACTTGAACCCCACTTAGTGTTGAGAGTCTTCCCCTGAAGGATCATAGTGTCCAAAGGCTTGAACTAGACCTTTTGAGCCAGAGTTCAACTTTCACCCACACAATATCAATATTGGTCAGGATTCGCGGGTCAGTGTGTTTAACGGCCATGCACTTGATCTTGATTCTCATGAGAGTTTCTAGAGAATAGCTCAATTCTCATAGTCGCAATCTCACGACTATTCACACTTAGGTGAGCCCTCCAAGAGTACATGTGCACAATACCCTGCAGAAGTATTCCTGTCTCAGTCTCATTCAGGACAAAATCTTTCCTTATCGTCACACTACATATGCACCTCTGCAATAGGGATGAGCATGAAAATATCTCCTCTTATGATATTTTCTCAACAACGGTGCTAATGAGTCACGCAGTATGGATTGTTTCTACCCATTGAACTTCCTTCATGGGGTCTCCAATCACAGAAGTTGGGTTACCTCCCTAGGTGACTCCTTTGCGGGCTTAGGCCCATCCCCCTCGACTGTTCTTGAAACATAACTTTTCTCAAAAGCTTAGCTTTCCTCAAAATCTTAGCTTTCCTCGAAAGTTCATTGATGAAATTAATCATCTTTCATATATTAATGTCTCATGGCTTTCCTCGAAAGCTGTATAATTATTTTTCAGCTTTGTTTGACTGCTATTTATAATCTCAATATAGAATGATCATTTTTCACAGATGAATGTCTTTCTCGGATGTGCATGCCTTATTAATTCCTCTATTTGATATTTGACCTGACCTGTCTTTCAAACATCAAAGATAAACACTACATTAAGAAGTATTTGTCTAAGAAGATTTTAAGTGTCAACATATTCAATAAAGATCTCAATAGATCATTGCAATCCTCATTACAAACGGACATATAACGAAACCATCTCATTAAGAAAATTCAAATTGTGAATCTAGGAGATATCTTTTTAATTGTACCCCCACATTTCCATTTTTTTTTTCATGAAAGTTACTAATGGTTTTACTCTTTATTTAAAATTTGAGCTAAGTAATTCTTCAACTTTTAGTTCATAAAATGGCATTTGCATCACACTGCTCTATTACCAATGCATATAGTTCGTGTGTTATAATCATACCATAAATATACCAGTATCAAACAGTAAAGTTAGCAGAAACAGCTTATAGCATGTCATGACCCAACAAGAATATATTCTATCTCTCAACTTTGTAAAAAACTTTCTCACTAACTAGAGAATAAATGCATGTTGAATTTCTAATCACCAAATAGGTTAGATGTCGTAGCTTGGTCAAACAAATTTAATTCATAAATAACACTCCTTATTGGGTTTCTAAAATCATGTTAGTGCACTAAGCTAATTTGGTGCTACAATATTTCTTACCAAGCACCAATAAATCTGAATTTCTGTTGCCCAACTCTTAAGTCACACTGGTTTTTTGATAAGCCTTTTTTTTATCTAGTAGCTCAATTGGGTGATAAGGTTTACATGTTTCAAAGAAATCCTAGAATCAATATGTGTGGCATTTAGAAATTCAAACATTATTCACCATCCAACATACTAGATATTATTTGGCTTTCAACATTTTATATTAATGTCCTATTATCTAAGTCTAAAATTACACGTTACTCCACATCAACAATTTCTTCCCATGGTAAATCATCATTTCAAATAACACATTTCAGAATCAAATATTTCCATTAATCCAAATAGAATTAACAAAAATAATTACTTTCCCAGAAGTGATGTAAAACAACCATTATGGTGCACTGTATGAGCTTCAACAATAATTAGTCTAATTTAACAATACAAATTTAACTCAATATATTTTTACTCTTATGGTCTAAGCATAATTAAAGTACTAAAGTACTGCAGAAACTTCTTTGAACAAAGACTTGACCACGTTTTTGAACTACTTGAGTCCACTGGTTATAAACGTATATTAGTAATTAAATGAGTCAAACAATTCCAAATTTAATGATTGCCGTTAGACAATAATTGTAACTTGTCAGTTACGATTTCAAATAATCCAAAAAATAAATTATAGCACTTCAAAATATTAAAAACCCATAGTTAGTAATTGTCCATTGCACATAAATATCACAGAACCAATTTTCTTGTTTATTTTAATATTTTTTAACGAAGTTTTATATGAAACCAAGCATTAGATAAATTTGAAGACTTATAAATAACACAAAGAATGGGACCTCACACACGATCAAATGAAATCATGTTATAATCCATCAAGTGTCACTCACTTAAGCAATTTCTATTGTAAAGTTAACAGCAATTTCTATTGTAAAGTTAACAGTGCTTCATATAAGCCCAGGGCAAGAAGTGCAATATTTTATCCTATGAGAAAATTAATAGGCTGATTTTTATTACACTGCTTGTTTTTGACACTAAAAATGACAGTAAACTAGATGAGTTCACACATAATGACTTGGAAGAGCAAGTAATTTTACATCCAACTTGAGATCAAGTTGACACTACTCAAGTACCACTCAACTTTTCTAGCTCACTTCCTTTTCTTTGTTTAGCATTTACCGTTGGATTTGCCCTATCGTTGCTTTGTAATAACGGTAGATATATAAGAAACAAGTGTAATTATTACAATGAATGGAATACTAATATATATTAATTAATCTAATTAGGAAGTTGAAGTAACCTAAGTTCACTACTTCAGTGGTTTTTTTTTTTTAAATATTTATCTAGACTAAATTATATGATCAATATAAAAGAACAAATTTAAAAATTATAGCTTCATCAACTTCAGTGGATCCAACTTTTATAAACATGTTCGCGGAGTTCATGTGAGATAGAAACATGGTATGTTAGGATGCTAAAGGATACCATGAGTTGTAACAGTACAACCAAAAGGTTCATTATCTGGGTTGTGGTTATGAGCGACTCCAAGATCAAATTCAGACATTCACAGTAGCAACCTCCTCAATAGTTATGCTCACTAGAAAGAAGGGATGAACCTGATTTGAATTGAAATTGTCCAAAAACATAATTGGAAGATACATCTCCAATATATATGGAAAAATGATACATACTACAAAAACATAAATATCCATTAGATCACATGAGCTTCTTTTATATATATTTGAAAATGCTAGCCATAAAGACTTTTAAAGTCTACCATCTAGTAACCTCCACCACATAAAGACATTCAAATGCCCAATTAAAACAAAGTATAATTACTCAATTAAATCCTAAATTAAAAGTGATCCATTAAAACATATAAAATAAATTAAATGAGAAATTTTAAAACTTTTATTTTTTTTTTCCAACACCATAACCTCCTGCTCACGCTTTCCTTTCTCCTCATAGTTGAACATTGCCAAAGCTCGCTTGTCCTCGGCACTATAAGCCTGGTTTTCCTTTCTGATACGAATGGCATTCATCCTCTGATGCCTACTACCACTCATTACATACCCAAGACTCTCAAACTTCAAAATCTCATCCGCTGAAAGACCCACTTCACCTCTATGTGGAATACGCTTCCCTTGTTGAACATACTGAGCAATGGCATCACCTTCACCAGGCCTAAGTGCCCCACCATAGCTAATATGTCCTTCAGCCCTCGGCAATGGCACTGGCCCAACCACCGGTTCATTATCCATAGCAGTTTTCTTCTGCAACTCAATCATCTCTTAAACATAAAGAGCTCGCTGTCAAATTCATTGGTCTTCACCTCATCATCATTCTCCTTACTTTTTGCATCTACTTCACCATCGGAACTCTCATTCAAATCGCTCTTGCTCTTGATGCGCTTTGACAGCGAAGAGGATGAGCGTTTCAGCTTCTATGATCTTACACCATCCTCGGATAATTGACTAGCATCAGAAACCTCAGTTTCACTTTGTTCACTCTCACTTTCATCCGAATAACTATCCCTACCCTTCCTTCTACTACTACTACTTTTTCTCTTACTGCTACCCCTGTTGCTCTTGCTTCGCCTGCTTGGCCGTCTCTTGGACTTCCTCTTTCGGCTCCTCCTAACTTCTTGTTCAGAGTCATCAGCACCCGACTCATCTGATTCACTCTCACTTTCAGTATGTTTTCATTAAGTCCTTCTTTGAGGAGAGGGTTTAGAGGGTTCAGCTTTTTTTACAATTCTAGAGAGAGAAGCTCTGACTTCTGTCTAAAATTTCCTGTTTCATGAGTTCATCACCAAGTCACCTTATTCAACCAAAACCACCAGATCCAATCCCAAAAATAATAGATCAATCATTAAAACCTACAGATTCTTTTCCAAAACATCCAGATTTCAGTGCGCAGCAGCTAGATTCAAGTCCAAATGATCTTCATCTTTCATCCAAGCCATTGGCCGCTCAACCATCCTTTGCTTCATTGTTCAATCATCAATCTAAGTCCAAGCAAAATGTTCTACCAAAAATTGATAAACCAGTTGTGTTCTATCAAGGGGAGCCAGCCTTTTATTTTACCAATGAGGAGGTTAAAGATTCTTGTCAGTCCTTGGAATATGCCTTGATTGGCAAATGGTCATATGGAAGACCTTCACTTGGGGTCATCAAGGAGGTTATTAGATCCAAATGGAAGTTGAGAGGATATTTTGAAGTTGGATCTATTGATCAGAGGCATATCCTTCAGGATTATGTGAAAACTTGGCTTAAAAATGCAACTTTGATTGAAGATTACCTGTTTAGATTCTTCAAATGGTTTTCTGGATTTGTGCCTGGTATTGAGCCTTCAATTGTGTCTTTGTGGATTTCTATTGAATTTTTTCAAGAAATCATATTTGGAGTTGCTGGTAAAACCAATAGGCAGAATTTTGGCTTATGATCAAGCCACACTGTCATTATCTAGACCAGGTGTAGTGAGAGTTTGTGTGGAGGTTAATCTCCAAGCTACTAATCCACATAGAATTTGGATTGATATGGGGGATGAAGGAGCACGATGGCAGAAAATCATCTATGAGAGAATAAAGAAGTTTTGTAAGATATGCAGAAAGCAAGGTCATGGGGAGGAGGAATGTCGCAAGATGAAATTATCAAGTATGCCAAAGAATTCAGAACGTGATCCTGCAGATTTAAAAGAGTCCAATAAAGATAGAAGTCCTAATGATAAGAATTCAGGAATGCCTCCACAGCAGAGTGAGAAAGGAAAGAAGGTAGTTTTTAATGGATTCAGATCCCCTCCATTACACTTTCCCTTCAATTCTCCTTAATACAACGCTAGATGAGTGACACGTATCAAATTTTGAATTTTAATGGATAAGATTTTTTTCTTATAAGAAAATTCCTTAATAATAACACTCCACCAACAACAAAAGTGAATAAGGAAACATCTTATCCATTGAAATTTAAAATCTTACACGCGTCATTCATCTAGCATGTATTGAGGAAAATTGAAGGGAAGGGGTAATGGAGGGATCTAAATCCGTTTTTGATAAGCAGCAAAATGTGAATCAGAAGGTTCGAAGGAAATCCATCCCATCAAATCAAATAAGAGGCATTTGGATGAAGCAAATAGAGAAACTATCGTCACAGAAGTTCTGAAGGAGGGGCAGTCTGTCCAAGTACGACACAATCAGGGGAACATTTCTCTTTCTCATCAATCACAGTTGGATAATTCTGTTAGAATTTTGGAGTAGGAAGATCATTCCAGAAAGGATAATCTTTCAGCACCATTACAGACTCAGAATCAAGAAGAAGTGGTATCTGTTCCAACGGTTTTAATGGAGTCTTCAGGAAAAGAGAATGCTGTGGGTTCTTTTAGTTTTCAAAATGATCATGCAACAGATTTGCAGTGTCAATCAGGGCCAGTTCTGAATTCAGTGCAAGACTCTCAGGTGCTTCACGCTGGATTTCATTTGGAAAATTCAGCAACAGGAAATACGTTCCCCAAGCATCATATTAATAATCAGGGAGTGGAACCTGATCTTGCCGCTGCATCAGTTCAGCAGAATTATTTACATGATCTTCCTAAGGAGATCGCAGGAGCTTCTAAGGGTTTGACTGAGGACATTATGCAACCACCTGCTGATTGTTCATTAGATAGAGTAGATAAGTGTGGCGTTGCTCAGTTGGAAGCCACAGCTGGTTCAGAGCTCTCTTCGCAGTCATACTATCAATTGAATAGGCAGTAGTCAACGTCTCAACTTGATTCTACTTTTCTTTATGATCATCGTTATTCTGTACAATCATCAGCTGGTCTGTCTAAGGATTATGATAGAGATATTCAACCTTATCGGGATTTGCCAGATAAAGGGTTTCATTCTGATAATGACATGTCCACAAGTGGGGAATGTATTGAGTTTTGATAATGCACAAATTAGCTTGCACATTATTAGTCAAATGAGTAGTATAAAATGCAATAAAATAAGTAGAGGAAGAAAGAGAACAATGTTTATAGTGGTTCGATCAACAAAATCTACCTCCACTTTCAATGGTAAATCCGTCGAGAATTTTATTAACTCCGGTATGTTGGGAGAGTAGAGAATTACAAGAGAAAAGATAGGAGCTTTGATTTTGTGAGATGCCCCCCAAGTGTTGGGGGAGTTTACAATTTATAGTCATCTGCGTTGTAATTGTATAGCTAGTCTGACGGTCATAGTTGGGGTCATTTAATAATAATTAAATCCTTTGGCGACTTCTCCTCTCCTCGACCCCTCCTCTCCTCAACCGGCAAGGATGTGGGAGGTTGATTCACTCCAACCTACAAGGATGACCTCTCCTTTCCTCACCTGATGCTTTATTGGTGGTGTAGCTCCCTGCTGGGCTTGATTGGGCCTGAGCCTCATTGGGCCTGCTGGATCTTTATAGATTTGGACTCTTGGAATTGAGTTATTAATTTAGACCGAGCTTATAATATGAGTTGGGCCCTCGGGCTTGACCCATCATTTGCCCCTCAATGCCCTGCGTTTAAGAAACTTTGAAATGAGGGCATTCAATTGAGTTTGGATTTTCGGCCGAACGACAAAATTGAAAAAACTTCGAGAGGCCAAAACATATACTTCTAGGCCTTTTTTGGGCTTTTTCTAGCGTCGTTCATTGCCATTGGTAGTGACTTTTGTAGAGCTCTTCGAGAGCTTCGTTTTGACATATTATGGGCCCCATTTGGAGTTATGGATCAAAAGTTATGGTCAAAATAGCGTATGGACCTTTTTAAATCCAAATTTTTCGAAAACTTCTCTTGATCGGCAACCCCATCCCTTCCAGTGAACTCCTTTTGCTTGCAGAACCCTATTGACTATATAACCTCCTTCCTTCCCTTCATTTTTTTTTTTGAAAAGCCCTAGGGTCCAATTTAGGGCTTTTTTGGTTTTTTTTTCTTGATTCCAAGAAACCCTAAGTGTAAATAGAGGCTTCCTTCTTCATTTTACCCACTTCACACAATCTTGAGAGGGTGTTCTTTCTTGAGATTTCTTGGAGACCCAAGGCTAGTTTTTTCTTGAGGTGCATTCTCATAAACATTCATTGTCTAGGAGTGAGATAATGGGGAGCCCTGATGATGGAGTAGCCGACTTGGAGGGAGGTAATAAGGCAGTTGCTGGTACGGTGGTGGCCGAAGAAAGTACTGAGGATGGGGCACCTTGGGCGCTGCTCAACGAGGAAGAAGCCGAGAGAGAGGGAGGTGGGCTGAGCAGTGGTCTAGGTTGGCATGTGGCTTTCACGGCAGGCGGCAGGCACAGAGAGGGCGCTGGTTTGGCCCGTTTAGTCATGCAGTGTGTTGTCTAGGACTCCAATCTGAGCAGCAACGAGCAGATTGGGAGCAAGGCTAGGCGTGTAGGAGCGGGGGACTACTGAGCTCACATAGGGTACAGGTCTGGACAACGTAGGTGGGCTACCTAGGCGCATGGTTTGCATGGGTGAGCAACTTATTGTGCTGAGCAGCCTACTGCGCTGAGCAGATCGGGCCAGCAGCCTACTGCGCTGAGTCTGGACAACGTAGGCGGTTTGCCTGGGCGCGTGGTCTGCCTGGGCGAGCAGCCTATCGTGCTAAGCAGCCTGGGTGAGCAGGCTAGATGGACAGAGCGGCCTGCTGCGCTGAGCAGATCGGGCCAACAGCCTACTGCGCTAGGCAACCTGGACGAGCAGACCAGGCCAACAACCTGTTGTGCTGGGCACCCTAGGTGAGCAGGCGGGGCGGGTAACATTGGACGAGCAGCTTGCTCAAGTTTCTTCAAACGTTGTTTCTCAAAATCATTCTCCTAGAGACCTTTCTGTCTCGGACAAAGCTTTACGCCCTCGCGTCAAAAAACATCGAGGTAAGGTAGCTCTTGATGATGATGGGTCCAAGGTAAGTTCTATATCTAGCACTTTAAATTCAGACAGTGATATTTTATGGATTGCCTCCACCTATTATATTCCTCCGACTGTGCTATGTCATCAAGTCGAGATGGGTGAGCCTGTTTGCGATGACTCCTTTAGTGACATTACTATTTATGAAGAGGTGCTTGAGGCTGGGCTTAGGTTCCCAATGCCTTCTCCCGTTTGTGGCATTTTGAACTATTTTTCCCTACCCAACGGTTGGAGAATGTTGTTGAGTTTCTTAGCATTATGGAAGAGGGTGCATCATGAGGATGTTTCTCCTGAGGTATTCCATGTAGCTTACTACCCAAGTGAAACTCCTTCTCCTAACCGAGGCTGGTATTATTTTACCACGAGGGGAGGCAAGTTGATTCCCGGACTACCCTCTAAATGTCATAGTTGAAAATCTCGCTTCATATTTGTCGGTGGAGAATAGGCTTCAGATGCTAATAAGGTGTTGGTACAATGGGAAGCTCTAAAGAAAGTTGGTACGTCTTACATTCTTATTCCTCTATTACCCCATTCTCTGTAGGCTGTGTTCTCACTATATTCCTTACAGGTGCTCCTGTGCTCTCCACAGACCAAGAATGGAAGCTACACGCTGTGAAAGCTTACTCTTCAAGGGACTTTGGAGCTCTCATGCCCAGGGGTGGAGGAGTTATTGGTTCCTCTTCCGTTGGTGCCAGTGGTCCTTCTCCAAGGTCTAGCAGCCCCCCCTTGAAAAGGAAAGGTATGTTGATTCTTCTGCACCCTCTTTTTTCACTTGGTACTTTTCATCTAGGTAACACTTTTATTTTCTTTGGAGCAGTAGATAAGGAGATGATTGAGTCCTGTCTTTCTAGTAGGAGTTCCCCTCCTTCTAAGGTGGCGAGGAAGGGGATACCTCCTAGGTGACTTCTCCAACTGTGCCGCCTGAGGCGAGCTCTCCTCAGTTAACTCCTCAAGTGGTACCTCGGCACCTTCCTATAAAGTGGCTCCTTTAGGGGCGCCTCCTCAATTGGACCTTCCACTATAGAGTCTTGTTTACTGGCCACACCTTTTACCCCTCATTCATCCACTCCTCCTATGGGGAATCCTGGCAGAGTACCCTCTCATATCTACTCCATGTTAGGTAATGCATTGGTCATCAAGGATCGACTTAGGTTATTTTTGTGCAAGAAGGATGTGGATGAGATTGGTGCCTTGGGTACAGAGGGAATTCTTAGCTCTTTCCTAAAAAGCTGGGCTCAAGTGAGAGTTTATTTTCTCTCCTTTCTCCCTTCCATAAGTGTCTGACATTCTTTTGCCTTTTGTTTATCTTTAAGCCTCCACTGCAGTTATGTGTTTACTTTCAAGGACCCTCATTTATCACAAGCTGAAGCTCGATCATGAAGTGGTGCAAAATGAGTTTCTTGCTGCTCAGAGGAGGATCACCGAGCTTGAAGCTTCTGGCAAGGCTTTTGACGCTGACCTTGCTGCAACCCGTGAGAGGGCGGCTGGTCTTGAGATTGAGCTTTCGACGACCCATGAGAGGGTGTCCAGGCTCGAGGCTGAGCTTGTTGAGGTCTGTGAGAGGGCCACGCTCAGTAAGGCTGAGCTTTCGGCGACCTATGGGAGGGCGGCCAAGCACGAGGCTGAGCTTGTAGAGGTCTGTGAGAGGGCCATACTCAGAAAGGCTACCGCAGAGGTAGAGGTGAAGTCAACTCATGAGAGGGGTTCACAGGGCGAGGAGAGGGCTTCCCAGGCTGAGGATAGGGCTGTGATAGTTGAGAGGGACTTTGAGAGTGGCCTTGTAGACGCCTTCATTGACGGTTATGAGGAGTTTCGGGGAAAGTTTTTCGCCGTTTTTCCCGATATTGACGTCTTAGACTTCTTGCCAATTGAGGCTCCAAATGACAGTGGTGGAGATTCTGACGACGCCGAGGATGATGAGGAGGAGGATGATGACCATGAGTAGTTTGTGTGTTGGGCTTTTTTTTTTTTTGAAAAGGCATATTGTAGCCATACTTTTGTAAAAGTGGTTTTTGCTGCTGATGCTACTTTGAAGTTTGAGAAGTTGAATATGAAAATGCAAAGATCTTTTTGAAGTAAATATCTAAAATTTTATTCATTTTTCTGCTTATATAAGGCAATATCGGGTAATAGCCCCACAAAAGAGTACAAAAAATAAAACCAAGTCCTCAACTTTTCTACTATCTCAAGGTGTCATTGGTAGTACCTCTTCAAGTGTTCCGCGTTCCATGGATGGGGTAAGACTTTCCTTTCAGAATTCTGGATCTTATAAGTGCTTGGCCTCACCACCTCTATTATGAGGTAGGGTCCTTCCCAATTTGGTCCTAGCTTTCCTCCCCGTGAATCCTTTGTGGCGAGGATAACTTTCTTGAGGATCAAGTCTCCTAGGTGGTCGAGTTGTAGTACTTTGTCATACGGCGCTTGTACTCCACGTTGCGGACCACAACCATCTCTCTTGCTTCCTCTACCAAATCGAGGTTAATGCGAAGTCCTTCCTCATTGGTGTTGGACCCTTAGAGAGTGCACCCCGATTTTCACAGAGATGACTGTCTCAGTTCCAAATGCGAGAGAGAAGGGGGTCTCCCCAGTTGGAGCTCTTAGTGTGGTTCGGTAAGCCTATAATACACCTGGGAGCTCGTCAACCCAAAAACCCTTCGCCTTTTCGAGCCTTGTCTTTAGATTGCGCAGCACCGTTCTTACCATGACTTCTGCTTGTTCGTTTGCCTGTTGGTGCACCGGACTTGAATGAGGCTGCTTTATTTGAAGGTCAGAGCAGAAGGAGTTCAGGAACTTGTTGTCAAACTGCTTGGCATTGTCGCTTACAATGGCATGGGGTATCCTAAAG